GCAGTAACCACCTTGGTGACTGTTGGGTGCATTATTGGTCCTGACTGCTCAATCTGCCAGAGCCTGTCTTCACATGCAGGGAAAGTCAAAGTCCTTAACTCACCAAGGGTTTGAGTCCACTGGCTACCCTCACCTGGTTCAACCTGCCAGTCGAAGCCCTTTCCCAGGCTGTGGCTGCTGTTGTATGCTTACAGCCTCTAGGAGCCAGAGGTGGAGCTGAGCACAGGGTGGGGACCAAAGGTGGGCAAACTTCCCTAGAAGGAGCATGATGTGTCCCCCATCTAACACCCCATACATCCCAATTTACAAAAAGCATGAAACCATAAAATCATCAGCGAGCTGAAAACCAAATTAAAACACAGGTCAACATTCTGCCGAAACAAAAATGCTTTTAGCAGGCACAGAAAAGAGTACAGTCAATAGGCAGGGAGTTCCAAAGTATGAATGGTGCCACTGTCTTGCTTTAATAATCAGACAATGAGTTTCTTTGTTATATGGATACCATTCATTCAAACTAGCCATCAACAAAACAGAAGTATTTCCTTCACATCCATACACAAAAAATAGTATGATGCATTGAAGATTTTGGCTGGAGCAGGTCAGAGGAAGTTCTTGAAAGCATTATTGTTCTGGCAAGTCTGAGACTGCATCACTAGAATCCAAGAACTAAGTAGAGAAAGAGGGAGCATTATAGGCAGGCTTTAAAGATGGGGCTGATGGGAGTCCAAAACATGGGGAAAGCACCAGGCTGGCAAGGGCTGCTCTACTGTAACCAGACCTAACAATGTGTAACTGAAATATCTTATTCTTCCCCTTCACTCCACCTCCCTACCTATTTCTTGTTGTTTTCACAGTGTCAGATTTTAGCCAGAAAGCCCTAGGGGTAGAGCCCTGCCTTGTGTACGTTGGTAGCACTCTATGAATTAATACAACAACAATTACAAAAACAAAAAGGATAAAACAATAATTTCACACTGGTTTCCATAGAATTAAAGTGTGGCTAATTTTTGCAGGATCACACCATGTATTCCTATACCCTCCACCACTGTGGAGCTGTGGAGCAAACCAATAGGAAAAGTGAGCCCAATGGTCAATCCAATTGATCTGATTGCAGATCTGATTGAAGCTCAGCTAACCCCAAACTGAGATTGCATCAGTTGGATTTACTAATCACATCTTCTAATTCCTAAGATTTCATGGGCTTAATCTTTCAAGTGCTACAAGACTCTTTTGTTCTGTTTTGTTTTTTGCTGTTTTGGATTAACACTGCAACTTCTCCACAAATTCTGTTCCCTGTAGATTTGCCACATGGATTATTTGGGAAATGATAGTGCTGATATAAACACACACACATATATATAATTCTTTTTGAGAACTTTCATTGTGCAGATAGTTGAGTTTCTGCCATAACAACTATTTTTAATGGCCCAGATTTCCACCATATCAGTGTCTTGAGTATTGCTGGCAAACATTTTAATCTACAGCAGCAGCAGCAGCAGAGACTGTTTGGGCAGACAAACATTTCTGCTCAGATGGCATTTGATGCAGGTTGAATCACTGCAAATCCATGGTTCAGAGGGAAAACAGCTCAGTAGCTCAGCAGTGATGCCCTATATAGTTACTGGAACTTCTAAATACGCAGCGATTTTCTCCAGCAGCCTACATAGAATTCGAACTATGTTGGAAACTCAGAAGCAATTTGCCGAAGTCAATCTCCGGGGCAGCTAGGGAGGTATTGCTGCCTTATTTTCCCTTCTCTTTCCCCTCTGTTTCCATTGACAAAAAGGCTGCTAAAACCCCTTACATGAATTCATTTCTTGAAAATAGTTCACAGACATATAGCTTACCAGACACGGTGCACAAGGAATGTGTGCAACCAAAGAGCTGGAGGGATGCTCATGCATGAAGAACACCTGTCTCATATTAAAGAATAGTAAATGGACTGGTGGACAAATTTAGCAATGAACACAGGAAACTGGTCCAGAAGACTCTGTTGGAAAAGGAGTGATCTGTGGGAGAGCTGCATAATTACAAAATCACTACCTCCCTACAGAAAAGCAGGCCCACATATACATACATGGCATGGTATTCAATTAAGTTTTACTCAAGAGCAGACCCGCTGAAGTTAATGGACACCACTGTTAGATCCATCAGTTCCAATAGGTCTACTCTGAGTACAACTTACTTGAATACCACCAATGGTCTCTGGATTGACAGCTGATTTAATGTCCCAAAAGTAAAAAAAAAAAAAGATGTTTGTTCTAACCTATACTTTTCTAGTCTTCCATGTAATTCAATGAGCTCCATTGAATTTTGTAGAAAGAAGAGTTTGACAAAAAAAACACAACCCCACCCCATAAACACTTCCCTGCTGCAAAGCATGGGAGCAATAGTTATGACATACCTAAAACTGACAAATTAAGAAATCTGGCACACCTGAGGAAGTGTTCATCACTAGACTGTTACATGTTGGACCTGTAGCAAAGTGCTGCGGTTTGGAGTCCTCAGCTTCCAAGTTCCAGCCAGCCAACCAGCTGCATCCTTTCCGCAAATATTATTTGTCATTCCCCTCACATCCCCTCCAATGGCCACTCAGCATTCTGTGGCCACTGAGCATGCTCAGCCCCTCATTGGGCTACTCTGGTGAGCCCCTCTTCTCCCCTGCAAAATATCTGTACATTTCCCCAAGCCTAATATTGTGCATGGATAGTGCTGCTTTGTCTCGATGTGGGTCCACACTCAGAAAATGAGCTTGCTGTTAGTTTATAGGATATTTGTTTATAATATGACATAAAGGTAATGTTATGTTCTGACTCCCCTTTTTTGCGCACACAGTTTTCATTGTTAACTAACCATAGTTGGGTTTGAATGATCAAACATGATACTACCGAAGATGTGGAAGAAGGAGTGAGATTGTGATGGCAATCCATGATCCCATGTGTTCTTTTTGCCCAGAGCCTAGGTGCATGCAAACCCAGAGACTTTCTTCTCTTCCACTCCTGCTTCCACATGTTCCATATCCCATTTGGTCATGTGAGCAACAGGGATCCCATGGATACTGGGATCATCATCAGTGCTGTCATTTTCCCTTTCTCCTGCTCTCCAGATCCTTACGTCAAGGTGTCCTTGCTCTGTGATGGAAGGAGGCTAAAGAAGAAGAAAACCACCATTAAAAGAAACACACTTAATCCTAACTACAATGAGGCAATAATCTTTGATATCCCTCCAGAGAACATGGACCAAGTCAGCCTGCTTATCTCTGTTATGGATTACGACCGGTAGGAGGGAATCTCTGTAATGCTTAAATCCCATTCGAGCCATTTCCTCTTTCTTGAGTTTCCATGGTGTGACTCACTTGATTACGTGACTTGGTTGTGCAAGAGACAAGGCATGTTATTAGAAATATCAAGCTGCACTTTTTGCTTCTCAAGTATTTCCCCTTTGGGTCAGCAGGGCATGTTCCTAGGATTTAATTTAATGACTCGTGAAGTCGTGAAGTCCATTGGTGATGGGGACAGGAGCATAAATCACATGCTCAGCTTCATGCTTGAAGATCACATGTGAAGATTCACATGGGGATCAGTCTTGATGATGACAGCATACACTCCCTATTTACCAGGGACAGTCCTTATCCCATTTGCAGACATGTCTCTGATTTGCCTATGAGGCATGCTGTATTATAATTCTGTTCTCATTTGTAGCTTCAGCAAGAAGGGTGGAAGAAGCAGGAGGGACGGGTTTAAATGTGTCACTGTAGCAAAAGAAAGCATGTCTAAAACATGTTCCGTGTGTGGTTACCCCTTTCAGAGTCGGCCATAATGAGATTATTGGGGTTTGCCGTGTAGCAAACAATGCTGAGGGACTAGGCCGAGACCACTGGAACGAAATGCTGGCTTACCCACGGAAACCAATTGCACACTGGCACCCACTAGTAGAGGTGAAGAAATCCTTCAAGGAGGTATGTAAAGTATTTAATAACTTCATTTGAATGTATGTTTTGTAGGCCAAAATTATTTTTGGAGAAGCTTGCACTTGTATCGCGTGAATTTTGAAGAACACCTTACCCAATATTAGGCTTTGTAGCTATACTATAAAAGTAAGAGTTAAGTTTACAGATACTGTTGGTATGGTTGTGTTGTATTCATGCACACCTCCCTACCCATGTTTTGGCTCCGGAAACCTGCAGCAGTCCTTAAGCATTTTGGCCCGGCTTCAACTTGCACAGAACCTTGTTAATAGACCAATTTATTTTAACCAGCTCAAATGTGCAGCTTTAATCCTTTTTAATTTCAGAGCAATGCACAAAACGTGCCTAACTTCCATGGACTTTGAAGCTGGGAATAAAGCAGAGAACTGAGTAAAATGGAAGGAGTTAATGGAGCTGATCTTTGCTGAAGCAGAAGTACATAAGTCATCTGCAGCCTCCAGAACTGTTCAAAATCTAATATGATATCTACAGTAACATCTGCAGAACACGATGCTCTAGTGGCCAGCTTCTAGGAGAAATACCCTACTATTATTACTTAATCACTTTTTTCAGAAAGGTGAACTCAAAGCAGCTTACAAAATGAACATTAAAAGCAAGTGTAAAGGAACCTAAAACACACCTATACTGTGTATAAAGCAGAGCCAATTCAACTTCACCTACTAAAAGATAAATAGAAATTAAGATCCAAAGGCAGGATGAATGAGAACAGTTTTGCTTGGTGCCTAAAAACAGATAGAGATGGCACCAGGCATGCCTCTCTGGGGAGAGCATTCCACTGAGCAGGCCCTTTCTTATAGCACCACCCTCCTATCCTAATTGATTAGTACCCAGTGCAGTTGTGCCGGGAGTGGTGTTGTGTGTTCAGACCAGCTGCACCAGCTGCCGTTTCCATACCATCTTCAAAGGCTTCCATGAACAGATTAAGCAACAAAGCAAACCAATAATTGTGCTGCCCCAAATGGGGAAAGAAGCAAAGGAAGCAGGGGGTACACCTTCAACTGACAGTGTTTTGTGGGAGGGATTCAGGTGCATACCAGGAAATGTAGCTTTGCAAAATTAAAGCACTAGTGCAACAAATCTGGTTTAAAAAAACACACACACAAAAAGCCCACCCTGGCATTTTTTGGTTTGAAAAGTGATGAGGAAATGCACTGAAAAGTGTGACATAAAGAACTGGTTAATAGAAAGTCATATAACCAAGCGAGCGAATCAGAATGAATTATTATGTTTATTATAATGTTTATTTATACCCCGCCTTTTTTCCTGACAGGACTCAAGGTGGTTTACATACATAAATGAGAACTGCTAAAACGTTTTTAAAACAATCATAAAAAGCAAGCAGACATTGTTAGAAGTAAAACTATATGCATATATTAAATATATTAAAACGAAGACTCAGTAAAGACTGGATACAATCTAACCTCCATGTAAGTTTTGTGTCAGCAAGCTAGGGTGAATGTTGTTCAATAGACAGGACATCTGGGGTTGCTCAGTCAGTTGCAGGATGCATGCACAAAAAAGTCCACAATTATGACTCAGTAACGTTCCTAGCTGCAATGCGAGGGAATACAGGAAGAGCAATGAAGCCTGGGACCCAATGAAACCCCAGATTGACACTGAACTGTCTCCTTGAGACAAAACACAGGAAAATTGATGGTACTTGGCTAACTTCACCTGTAATCAGCTAGACTACTACGATATGGCGTCATTGTGTTTGGTTGTCGTAAAGTACAGCCAGATACAGATGCAAAGAAGGATGCCAGTGTCTAGATGTCTATTTGGTTGATACACTAGCTCTGCCACTATCAATTTAATGTTAAGTCTTAAAAAAAAAAGATTCAGTAGAGAACACACCAATGTTCCTCCTCATCTCCCTCCCACGCTCTCTCTCTCTCTCCCCTTGTTATTTGTTGATCTGAAGCGGAGCAATCCCACCAGGGACAAGAAGCTGCTGTGATCCTAGAACAAGTACTTCCAAGTACATGTATGCTATGCATCCACCAATAAGTTTTGTTCCCTGTTGTTTTGTTTTGGTAGGAGAGTAAACAAAGCAAACAAGAAACTGCTTGGAACATATTCTGAAGGGGAAAGGAAACCCTTAACTGAAGCAGAAGGTTATTTAGAACAAGATACACTAAACAAGATACACAGATACCAAGTTACCTTGTTGTGCCAGAGAACCAAATATGTTCTCCAGATGAGAGTGAGTGTGTGGGGGGGGGAAGGGGTAGGGAGACACACACACACACACACAGAGAGAGAGAGTGTGTATTTTGGATCTGTTTCCACAGACTGTTTTTTGCTTCTAAGCTCAGATCTCTTTGAGCTTTTCAGTAGACTGTAAACAACATTTCCAAAGCTTCAACCATGGTTCTCTAGTGCAACACATGCCACCCAGATGTCCTGTGGGTTCTTTGGGATAGGAGCATGTGGTCACCAGCAGGTACTTATTTCAATAGCCACAAGCACATCTTGCTGCAAGCTTAGGCAGTGGCACAGCCCAAGGTATTGTTGTGTGCCGCCAGTCTCCCAGCAGGTCCCAACACATGAAGGTTAATGGAGACTTTTCTTTAAGATGTATGGTTTTATTTACACATATATGTAACCTGTGCACCAGATGGAAAGACTCATGCCATTAGCACTCCCAACAAATCTTGCTTCCCCATTAGGAGTCTAGTGGGGTCCCCAAAGCCATAGCCTTGGATTCCACTTGGAGGCTAAAAACAGACAGAATGTACGAATTACAGAAATTTCTAATGTTTGCTCAGGAAAAGTTTGTTAACTGGAAGACTGAGCCCATGAAAAGCAAGTATAGACATGGCCAGGGAAAGGTAGAGAGTATGCTCTGGAACTGATAATTTGTTACAGTGAAGATCAGGGGGCGCTGTTTGATAAGAGAGGTGGATAATTCATGGCATCCGATAGCCTTCACTCCTCTGATGCTACTAAATAATTTTTATGTGATCTCTAATCCACTTTTGTAAGGATGCATTAAATCAGTAGGCTCTGCAACGCTGACAGGATTATTCAGTGCAACCAAAAACAGCTCTAGAATATTACACACACACACCCTTTCACGGCACCCTGCTCTGGCATCTTCTGTAAATATAATCTATGGCTGTCTGGGTCTGTGTATTGCACTGCTATTAGCAAGACTCCAAGGGAAAGAGGTAGGCAGGTTTCCCCTTTACCCCCCACTCAACACATTTCCAGCTCCAATATGCTTCCCCAGTTTTCAATCTCAGCACATTAAGGTTCCATGTAGTATGGGTGGATTTAGTTATTACAAAGCATATACATAAACCAGTTAATGTTCTCAAAATCTCTAAGCAGTGTGAAATATAAAAACAAACAATATCATTAAAACAAAATTATAAGCAAAAAGCAAAGAAAAAGACAAACCCATAAAAGCCTATAGAAACAGGAATTCAGGTGATTCAAGTACATAAAACTGGGTCCAGTCTTATGGTCAGGGAGGGCCAGGTCAAAGTGATCAGTTTTTAGAATATGTCTGAAGCAGCTCATGGCTGCTGCTTCACATATAGGAGAGGGAAGGATATCCCAGAATCTAAACCATTTTTTAAAAGAATGGTTTGGGAGCCAGAACCAGGGCGTCCTCTTTTACCAGGCTGCCCATGATGCAGCGAGACCACCTGGAGAGGAGCACCAACCATCATAGAGCCTAGTCAGGCTCAAAGCAGGGTTTGACTTCATTTAAATGTGAGCTTCCACAGGTGTTAATTACCATCACAAGCCTCCACCTTTAGGTTCAAGTACAAAATGTACTTCTTTGATCTGCTTTTGCTAAGGCAAACTCTGGGCGTCATGCTGGGTGAGGAAGCATTCGTGAATAAATGAATAAGTGAAAGCCTCGAACCACTAAACCAAACACTGCAGAGCTCACAGATCCTTTGAGAATATGAAGAAGAATACGAACCAGATGTTACAGACGTTGGCCATTACACCCTCATGCACAATTGGTGGTTGCTCAGTTACAGCACTGATGGGCACCAATTATGAATCTCTAGAAAACACCATTCCCTTGAGTTCAGCATATGTCATTATTTTGTTCAGAAAACGGCAAGCTCCAATTTTGCCAAAAATAAAACTATACATGCATCTGACACGTGCGGCATTGCTAAACATCTGGCCACTTATATGAGCATGTACGAGGCAGCTGTTGTTAAATCTCGCCATTATTTTCAGTAAGTGGTGCAGAAAGAGAATTCTGGATTTCTGAAAGCCTAGTTTCTTTTACTCGTCAGAGGTAGTTCAGTCCTTGCCTAATCAAGAAGATTAGACAAATTCATGGAGAATAAAACTAGCAGGGGTTACTAGCCATTAAGGCAGTATGCTATTGAATACCAGTTGCTTGCAAGTACATTTGGGGAAAGTGCTGTTGCATTCAGGTCCTCCTTATATGCTCCCATAGACATCTGAGAGCAAGATGCTGGACTAGATGGGCTTGTTAGTCTGATCCAGCAGGGATTTTCTTATGTTCTTTTGATTGGCAGGAAAAGCCCTGAGTGTCTGCCTTCTGTGGTCTTTCACCTGCCCTTTATCTGCAGAAGCTACTTTATCCCACGTCAGACCACTGGTCCATCTATTGCATACACCAGTGATGGGAAATCTCCAGCCCATAATCCCAATTAGCCTCCTCCCCGGGCCTCCCCATCTGACCTGACAGGCTATTTGCACAATCTACAACTTACCTGCCCTACACCTGATATCAGTTGATCATCACAGGAACAAAGGAAGTTGTGTTGCACCTTTGGTCCATCTAGCTCAATACTGGCAGCAGTTCTCCAAGGTTTCAGGCAGGCGACATTCCCAACCTTACCTGGAGATACTGGGGACTGAACCTGGGACCTTTTGCATGCCAACCAGATGCTCTTCTGCTGAGCTACGGCTGTTCTCCCTGCTTGCAGAGAGCAGTGAATGGTGCTTTGAAGCCCCAACAATCACCACATGGGTCACCTGACATCATTGTGACATCAGGCGACTGAAAGCTAGATGGCCCCACCCACCTGCCAAACATGACGGTGGTCTCCATGTTGAGCGGCAGCAGCTTTCCGGGTTTTCAAAGAACAATCTCTTTCAGCCCTACCTAGAGGTGCTGGGGACTGAACCTGGGACCTTTTGCATGCAAAGCATGTCCTGTAACACTGAGCCACAACCTTTGCCAAATTGCACTCCTTACCCAGGAGAGAAACCAAAATATAATTCCTCAGGCGATATTCGGGTTGCAACTGCTTGTGCTTTCTATTTGTCGTGCATGTGGTGTTAAACGCGAAAAATATGCATGCATCAGTAACTTGGGTGGTGGGCTGCATGACCCTGCACTGGTCTCACCATCATTTTGCATCATCATCATCATAATAATTTATTATTTGTACCCTGCCCATCTGGCTGGGTTTCCCCAGCATAGAGCTGGTGAGAGTGCTACTGCTGGTTTATGTGGGCTGGATGTACAATGGCTTCCTGTCTGACACTCTTCAAGACTGCTATTTAGGTATGCCCTTTAAATACGCAAACTGAAACAGCCCCTTAGTGCTAATTTGTTTTAGCACAAACGTACCCTATAATTCATCCGCCAATGACCCTTTATCTATTTCTGCCAACAGCAAAATCCAGCACCTGGATTGAGTGCTCCCAAGGCAGTGATCCCTGTAGCAGAGTCATCCCACTCCTTTTCTCCTGTGATGCTGTCTCACTCCAAATATTCCAAGGTATCCATCAGACAAGGATCATTTTACAAGAAAATATTAAACAAAGAGATACAAAGAACAACAACAGCGGCCTGTTTTTTGTTTTTTTTGTTTTTGCAGACACTGATGGGGAAAGGGCTTAGCAGAGATTTCCGGAGGATGAGTTTGGTTGTATCTGGTATTGCAAACTCATATTATCATCAGCTCGTTACAATAAAATAGATCTAAAATTTAATAAGGCCATTTCAGTCTTTGGGGACCGTGACATTTATTTGTTTAAAATAATACATCAGGTACTTAATGAGTGTAGGTGACACCCTAGAGGGCTTGTTCAAAAGCAATTCCATCTGTGTATTTAGAGCAATGAAACTTCTCTGGAGAATCTGTCACAGTTGGAATCAATATTTTGTCAGCGTCTCAAGCTCCCTTTAAACACAAAGAGCTTAAAATTGGTTTTCAGATGTTTTTAAAGGGCTTTATTTGTTCCATAATCTGCCAGCATCGAGGTATCAGATGTTCAGGTTCCATATTAGCCGTTTTCCCCTATCTTGGAAAATTGATTCTGCATGGCAAGAATTGGGGAACTTTGTCAGCCCAAGGAGACTTTCCAGGGGCCAGCTGCCAGCTGCCAGTGGGGCCAGAGACAAAAGCATGTGGAGCAAATGGCTGTAACTTAGATACACACATCTCTCTCCATCCAGGCAAGGAAGAGGCATCATCAGAATTCAAGGACACATTCCAGCCAGGCAAAAGACCCCGAGAAGAGCATGGAACAGGATTGCCCTAGGAGGGTCATGGCTTAGGAAGAGTCCCAGGGGTGACATAGAGAGGCCCAGAGGCCCATATTTGGTCCCTAGGGCCTGAGGTTGCCCACCCTTTATCTAAGATTTGGAACCTAACCACATGGACCTATGAAGTTACCAGAATGCACTCTGGATTTATTTATGCAGGCCTAGAGTTATTTGACAGGGACGCGGGTGGCGCTGTGGGTAAAAGCCTCAGCGCCTAGGGCTTGCCGATCGAAAGGTCGGCGGTTCGAATCCCCGCGGCGGGGTGCGCTCCCGCTGCTCGGTCCCAGCGCCTGCCAACCTAGCAGTTCGAAAGCACCCCTGGGTGCAAGTAGATAAATAGGGACCGCTTACCAGCGGGAAGGTAAACGGCGTTCCGTGTGCTGCGCTGGCTCGCCAGATGCAGCTTGTCACGCTGGCCACGTGACCCGGAAGTGTCTGCGGACAGCGCTGGCCCCCGGCCTCTTGAGTGAGATGGGTGCACGACCCCAGAGTCTGTCAAGACTGGCCCGTACGGGCAGGGGTACCTTTACCTTTAGAGTTATTTGGGACGCGGGTGGCACTGTGGGTTAAACCACAGAGCCTAGGACTTGCTGATCAGAAGGTCGGCGGTTTGAATCCCTGCGATGGGGTGAGCTCCCGTTGCTCGGTCCCTGCTCCTGCCAACCTAGCAGTTCAAAAGCACATCAAGTGCAAGTAGATAAATAGGTGGGAAGGTAACGGCATTTCCGTGCACTGCTCTTGTTTGCCAGAAGCGGCTTAGTCATGCTGGCCATATGACCCGGAAGCTGTCTGTGGACAAACACCGGCTCCCGGAGCAAGATGAGTGCCGCAACCCCAGAGTCAGTCACAACTGGACCTAATGGTCAGGGGTCCCTTTACCTTTACCTTTAGGGTTATTTGGGCCTTCTTGAAAGCCAAGTCTAAGGAAGATCATAAGAGACCAATGTTTCTCTTTAGTCTTGCAACTTGGTGAGAAAAACTGAATCGCTGTTTAAAAACAGGCCACAATTCAAATATCCTGTTTCAGTGATGAATAATAGATAGAGAGGTTGATTTTGTTACTGGAGGGTTGTTGTTGTTTTTTTGGGGGGGGGAGTTTAGAAATGTCCTTTGGAAATGCATGTTCCTTTATGTAGAAGTCTGCCATTAATAGAAACAGAGATACAAAACAGAGGGCTGTGATGCAAGTGCCTTTCTTTACAGTCTATTTTACACATTGTGCTTGTAGGGGAACATATGCTTTAGGAAATATAGTGTGGGTGCAAGAACCTGGTTTTGCTGCCACATAATGTATGAAGCAAACTTTAAGCCCCAGAAAGGCAAGGAGTTCTGTATCCAGTTCTGGGCACTACAGTTTAAGAAGGATATTGACAAGCTGAAACGTGTGCAGCGGAGAGTGACCAAGATGATCAAAGGTCTGGAAACCAAGCCTTAGGGGGAAAGATTGAAAGAGTTATATATGCTTAGCCTGGAGAAGAGAAGACTGAGAGGTGATATATCATCATATTCAAATATCTGAAGGGTTGTCACATGGATGACAGAGCAAGCTTGTTTTCTCCTAGTAGGACCCAAACCAATGGATTCAAGTTAGAAGAAATCTTCAAGGAGGGTATGTGTTGCGCTTGGGCCCCCAGGCATCTCCCACCTCCTGGGTGTGGGCAGAGCTACGCCCTGCTCCACTCCAGTTGGTCGTTTCACAATCACTTGGTCCCTAAAGCCAATGGCTTGGCTTGGGGGGTGGCTGTGAAACATTATTTAACCCTTGCGTGATGTTTGCTGGACCTCTTTGCCGTCACACAGAAGATCTCTCTCACACACACCCTTTATCTCGTGTGTTGGCCTTGCTATGGACGTTGTTAGTTGTCTGTTTTGCCTGGTAGGATTTTTTTTCCATCTGGCAGACTGGCAGAGCCATTTGGTTTTCGCCTACCAGGTAGCAATCGTCACAACTTTGTAAGGTTTGGCGGTTAGGCATTGGATCAGCAATGTGTGGGGAGGGGAGGTGCGGCCATCACCTGCCCCTCCAAGCTCAAGGGTATTCTGTTAAAGGAATCAGGGGTTGGCTTGGGTCTTGTCCGAAACCCCACGGTATGGGCTAGGGCCATACCAGGACCCCACAGGGGCACTGGGGGTGAGCTCGAGTCGGTTTGCATCGGCAGGGCTCCCTCTGGCGGTGTTTCACCCTTTTATCAGATTCCCCACAATGCGGGTGGGAGTCTGATATAGTTTGGATGATTCCAGTGCCTAAGCCAATACCACTCACATTCTGTATTCAATAAAGTTGTGGCCTAAATTTTGCCCAGTAACTTAAACTAAAATCCCATGTCACTGTGTCTTCATTTTTGGGGGGTGGTTGGGGGTCTCGAAGCGCAAAGGAGATTCTGACTCAGCATTAGGAAGAACCTTCTGGTGGTAAGAGTTGTTCAACAGTGGAACAGACTCCATCAGAAGGTGATGGACTCTCCTTCATTGGAGGTTGTTAAGCAGTGGTTCGATGGCCATCTGTCAGGGATTCTTTAGCTGTGATTCCTGCATTGCAGGGGATTAAACTAGATGACCCCTGGACTCCCTTCTAACTCTACAGTTCTAGAATTCTTTCATGGATTTGCGTGAAATGTGGGAAAACAGTGCTGTTAATGCATTCAAACACAGGGCTTCGAACAGTATACCAAAGACATCTTTGAAGTACCTAGTTCTACATCAAGAACAAGCCGTGTGTTCATAGAACAAGCTTGACACTTGCCTGAATGCTAACACAACGCCAGAGGTCAGAAGGCAAGAATTCAGAACTGAGAGTAGCATGCTTAAAATTGCACTTCATAGCCTGAAGACACGTTGCCAGTAATTTATAATCTAAAGTGCCTAAAAATGTGCTTATCCTGCACGCTGTGCCTTTCATTTACTTCCAGCTTGTTCTGGTCTTCCAATTTGAACAATGACCTCATGACTAGGAAGTGGATCCTGCTAAACTTCATTAGCTAAATTTTGACAGAATTATTGGATTAAGTTTTGAAGTCGTTTGAGGGGGGGTTTATTTGTTTGTTTTTTAATAGTTGCATGATATAATGCGAAGCAACACTGAACCCAAAGTAAGAGCAGCCTTTTATCATAGATAAGATAAGGAACTTGGCTGTGGCTGGCTGTACGTACTTTTCATGATGCGTTTGGTGATCAAAGGCTTGACAGCAGAGTGCTGGTTTACAACACAAACAAAAATTGCATTAGCAATCATTATTACCGGTAATATGAGGAAGACATAATAGTATCTAAGCAATCTATGCTATGGCAGGGTGCGGTGACTCGTGGCCATTGGAAGTGGTAGGGTGGAACACAGGGGAGGTCAACAGTAGGTGGAGCCAGAGTCAATCACAGGCAGAGTTTTACTCTTTGTAAGAAAGAAGGCAGGCAGGTGGGGTCTGGCTGAGGGCAAATTGAGGTTGGTGGGGCATTTCCCCATTCATCCTCATAGGCCAGCCTTCACTGATGCCAGGGCTGTTATTTTATATATTTTTCTCATATTATTTAAATAAATGACATGATGAGTGCAATCCTTCTAATCTTTACCTGAAAGCGCATTGTACTTTTAAAAATTAAATGCAATTAAAACTATTATAAAAACTAGTACCTGCATAGCAAATGTCCTTATTATTATTGCTATTGTTACATCCAGCATTCCCTTCAAGGAGCTTAGCGAGGTGAACACGGGTCTCCCTGTCCCCATTTGATCCTCACAAAAACCCTGTGAGGTATGTTAGTTTAAGATACAGTGACTGGCCCAAGGTCACCCAGTGCACTTCCTGACTGAGTAGGGATTCGAATCCTGGTCTTCTAGGCCAAAGTCCAGCACTCTGCCACTACACCACATTTCAAGGCAAAGGCCAATACTGTAAGTGTTCTACAAACACTATCTCAGTAGTTCCTACGATAACCCTTTGTGGTAGGCCAGCATTATTTATTATCCCCATATCATAGGTCAGAAGAGATGATTACCGAGGCTCAGAGATGATGACTTGCCTAAGGCCATCCAGTGAGTTCATGGCTCTGCTGATGTTTGAACCAAATTATCCACAGCACATAGCTTATAGTTTTAACTGCCACACTACAATTAACCCATATGCTGGCTTTGGGAATGTTAGAAAGATGTCTGGACCTATGGGATTATCTAACCCAGCCTTTCCCTGGTAGAGGCACTGCCCAGGGAGAGCCTCAAGAGCTGAACAGAGAGACCTGGAGGGCTACTTTTGGCCCCCTGGCCTGAGGTATCCTACCCTGCCTTAAATCATACCCCTTCAAATTCTTCACAAAACCATCTTCTATTGCTATTCATCCTCAGTATCTGACACCCAGCGCTATTTATTTAATGTCAGTATTTCATATTACTGATTGATAACTGGCAGGTATGCAATTGTATTTAGCATTTGGTAAGTGATATGCAATGTTAATGGCTTTTCATATTTGACAACGAAATAGTGGAAGAAAATGGTAACATAATGAATTTAAAACATTTGTTGGAACTCTGTCAATATTTGAGATTGGTATTTGGCATTTAACATCTGACAGACTTTCTTCTTCTAGACTCAATTTACATTACTTTTCCACTTATGAGGTGAACATCCAGAGTAAAAAAATAATTTTGGCATATTTTGAAACTGTTTACAATTACTTTTTATCCTTTTCTGCCTTTGACTTGAATCCTTCCCAATGTGCCAACACCCCTTTGAATTGCAGTGTTCAAAAAATGAATAGGTTATTATTCTTGATTTCTTTCTATTGGCCTCCTTTTGTCCTTTGTCCTTCTAATACTAACTTAAGCTGGAATCTGAGACCCACTTACCTAGATGGTAGAAATAGGAATTAGGGAAGAATTCAATTCAGTTTGCATTTAAAGCTGAATTGATCAAATTTGCACTTTCTGGAACAATGTAAGAACCAAAACATAGCCATCCTTTGAAATTTACACTTATCTGAATTTTGCAGTGCTTACAGTGTTTACAAATATGCGTTATATTAGGTCACAGTGAGCCTAATGATGAATATATTAGTGAAAATAACATACAAAGCTGTGTTATATTAGGACAAATTGCTTGCAAAAAATGTATACATTAGCCAAAACTGCATACAAAAATATGTATATTAGGAGAAATTTGCATTAAAGGGTTGAAGAATTTTCAGGAGGGTTTTTGAAAAGAATTTGCTGCAAATCGCTGTAGAAATGTTGGGAATCAAATTTAAGATTGGAAAAATGAGAAACTGAGAGAACCAAAATTGAAAGGTCCTTTCATCTCTAGGAGGAGTTTGCCACTTTGAACTCAATGGCATTTACTTCTGACCTGACATGTTTAACCTCCTAATTCATGTGCTCATCCTCTCAACGGCTAATGTCCTTTCTTGATTGCTGCATCACAACTATGGGACTCTTTTCCCTTAGATATTTGGTTGGCCAGTTTTCTTCTTTTGGATATTTTCTCTCTTCTTGCAGTATGATTGATTTCTGATAGTTTTGTGCATTTCAGCTTCTGTTTCTTTCTGTTTGTCTTTTTCTTTCCATTAACATAGACCCCCCTGATTCCTCTTGCCTCTTGCTGTTCCTTTTGTCTTCATCCATCTCACTAGATTTCAAGCACATGGGCAGGAATACTTCTAGATGTACATAATCATTGTAAACATGATGAACAACCACGCTGAACAAATGTGGTATCACGTAGAGTGGTACTAAAATCCAAAATTGCCCTTTTGATTGCTCAAGCTCAGTTTCTTATCTATTCCATTTTGTTACCCCGTCTGAGTGCCTTGGAAGTCTTCCCCTTCCATTTTGCAATCAATGCTTGAGTTTTTCAGAGGACACTGATTTATATCTCATGGTGCTGAGGACAAAGCTGATGATGAAGAAGCAATTTGCTGGCATGCACAGTTGGCCCAGCTCTAAGACTCTTCTGTGGAAGCTCGTGTGCACGTGAAGGAGATATTCATTCATCTAAATGGAGAGCACAATTGTGCATCCCTCCTTTTAAATGAATGGGACATCCCACTAGTGCTGGAGTTCCATCTCTGCCTGAGCTGACATAGACCTCTGGATTAGTGGTGCTAGTACATTTTTATGCCCTGCTTGTTTATGACTTCGTTCACTAACTTGCTGCCTTTTTCTTTTCCTCAGTGGCATGGCCGAGCAGCCAGCTTTGACAGCCAGGGCTCCTGTCCCTCCCCCAAACCGCCTCCAACACCATGATGCATCGAGTGGTGAATTCAATGGGACTCGACCAAGTTCTTTTTCGATTCATTTCCGTTTGATTCTTTGCCACTTGTCTGGAATTCCACAGCAATTCTATGGCTGAATGGAAGAAGAAGTGGACGTTAGACAGTGAAGGCACTTGTTCCCACAATGACAAAGGCAGCAAAACTGTTCTGTGGTCATATTTGTCTTAGTTATTTATGTCTCTCAAGGTGATGTTCTGTGTGGTTTTCACTTTTTGGACATGGCTGCCTGGGATGGGGGAAAAGTTGGAGCAGTGTGACATAGGCCGGAACACTGGCCTGTAAAATAACCTGTAAAATAGATATTTGTGCGTGTCTGGAGGTGGACAAATAGTAGAGAAGCACTGACATTCTGCAGATAACCATGCAGATTTAAGAAAAGAAATTGGAGGGGGATGAGACTGACAAGTGAAAAGGCCTTGATTAGACTCCTCGTGACATGTGAACAACCCTTGTTATTGTGATCAGCGATACATTACAAAAAAATTCTTACTCATACTGTGATGTTCATGGAGTCTGTGCTGTGTGTAACCCAGCCTGCCCTTTGATGTGTTTTACAGAGTTACGAATTCCTCAGGGAAAAAAATAACACTTTTTCTGTATTTATGTTCTCTGGAGAACCTTTTGCATGAGCTCAGTTGCTTAAGGTGCAGCTCATTCTTGCTGCAGTTTAGAGCTGGCCCCAGCTTTGCAATTTTTAACAAAATCTCTATCTCTTCCCCTCTCTCTTTTTTTTAAAGATCTATTTAGATCTATTTCACACCCATATTTCTTCTTCTTGAGAGTAGTGAAAACAGCTATATTTGTTGAGAGTCTGTGATTTGCAAAACTATTTTGTCTAGCAGGTTTTTCTAGAAGCATTTTGATTTTGTCTGTCATATACAGTACTTAAAAAAGATGAATCATTTGCCAAAATTACTGAAAGCTGCAACATTTTGAGTATTTTTAAAATTAACTTATTGCTTGAATTTGGGGGATGGGGGGAAATCCCCTGTTGGGGGAAATGTTGAAAGTTGTTACGTATTTTCTGACAATGTTTCAAAAATAAATAGTTCCTTCCAGTGCTAATTCCTTTATTTGTAAAATCACAAGATTGTGTCATGTAACACTAATCTTGGGCTGATGTGGAGGGTGCTAATAATGGCATGTCTACATTGAAGGCAATCTCAATCCAGTGTCATTTTGACTTGCATAGCTTATAAAGTGTTTGCCTTTGACAGTTTTCTCCTCTTCTGCTACTTCCTCTAGTTCTTGCGTTCTTATTTCTTATTGTCCACATGCAGTATCCATATAGATTATTGAAGACTAACATGGGCATCTCTGGGAACTTCCTTGTCCTCCTCCTCAATTGCCTTTTTATATTCTGGGGCCATAGCTCAGAGGTAGAGCATCTCTCTTGCATGCAGAAGGTCCCAGACTCAATCGCAGGCATCTCCAGATAAGGCGGGGAATGTCCCTGGAGAGCCAGTGCCAGTCAGCTGCCAGTTCTGAACTAGAAGAATGATTGGTCTGACTCAGTATAAGTCAGCTTCCTATGTTTCCATTTCTCAGGAGACCTGCAGACCTGCATAGTCCTTCCCATAGTCCAACAGCATGATTGCAAGAAGTGTTAGCAAGTGCTTTTTTCAGCCCAAATACTGAAAGTCGGATGATATTCAATCTACTTCAGCAAAAGACTGGCACATTCGTTACCTTCAACGTCATGAGAACCTCTGAGGCATAGCTTCTGGTAACAGCCATTGCTGGTAACATCAGAAAAGCATTAATAATCAAATAGGCAGGGTAGTGGTGACAATATTCCCAAACCTAGCATTATCAGTCTACAGGTAACATATTCTTCAGCACTGGCCAATGACAAACAGCCAATGTGGACAACAACAGGGTTGGAAGAGCATGAGAGGGTCTGGCCTAGATGTAGCCTTTTTGTTCTGTTGGTGGGGAAAATAACAACTAAGGGTGAAATTCAACTTTGCACTCTTCCATTATTCGATCTGCACAAGCATTTCAGCTTGCCAGGTGGAATGGCTCCTATGTGCTATAGTGGGGGGTTCTCCTAACCCCCCTCCCGAGCCAATTTTGTGGGTGTATGGGGAGATGCGGGAAACCCCCAAAGTGCAAACAGAAGTTCTTACACAGGGCTTCTGCTGACAGGGCTGGTTAGGTGAATCCCACCCTAATTTTTTCAAATATTCCAATACAGCTGATTCCAAATAAAAGGTTTATAATTTCTCATCAGTTTTTCATTGCACAGAATAAATATCCAGGTCAATAGCAATTTTTAAAGACGGGAGCACTAGCTAGAGAAAGTTGGGTGCACTTAGCATTAATTGCAATCAGTGGAACTGAATGGCCCTGGTAAATTTTACTATCCCACTGATTTCAACAGAAATTAAGGTGTGCATGCTTTCTCTGAATTTCCACACACTGATATAATCCAGCAAAGGTGATCCATGCTTGGAAGCAAAGTTCTATGCAAGAATCACCATTTTGGATCTGATCCGTCAAAGACAAGAAAGGTACTGGCCCTCACATTAGGTTTTCGTTGCCTCAGGCAGCTGGCATTAGGTGTCACAGAAGGGCAGCAAATTCTTTCTTATTTAATGTATGGTTATTGTAATTTTACTTTGTGGGATTTTCTGCCTCAGGTAGCAGATTAAGTTGGCTAGCCTTGGGTACTGTGTACCTTGACTGCGGTATAATGGTGGCACCATTTGCTGTTCCACCAGGCAGCAAAATGTCTTGGGCCAGACCTTGTGCTTCCGGGGTGGTGTGTGTGTGTGTGTGTGTGTGTGTGTGTGTGTGTGTGTGGTATCCAGCACTCAGTTGCTCATGCACGAGTAGATGATCAGTGTGACCAGACTTGAAAACACTGATTACTTGTCTAGTGGTTACTGGCCAAATTCAGTTGCCATCAAAGTGAGTGTATTGGGATCAAGAAAATCAACCACATTGTCATCCATGTTTATGCTTATTGATTTCAATGGGACCTAACTATTACATAGATTGCGGCCGAGCTTCTTGCTTAAAGAGTGTTTTTTTAATGCTTTTCACCTCACATTTAGCACCTCAAACAATGCTGTTTCTTTCAAGTAATAATTTGGAATAGTTTTGCTTTTTGACTTGAAACAATATTGCCTCAAGTGGCCGAAGTGTCCATAAATTGCCATTGTACATTTTTGTTCAGCTAGACTGAGAACAAAGCTCAGCAACTGAACAACAATAACACCCTTTACTTCAACCTTAATGTTCTGATTCACTGATCTAAACTTTCCAAGCGTGTATATAACTTTGCAGGGAAATTTTGTTCAGTGATAGACTAATTTGTTCTTGCTCCTTGCCACACCTTGTGTCTTAATTTTCTCTGTATGTGCCACATGCAACAGGAGCATCAATCTAATAAAATGACTTTTTTGAATCGCTTGTCTTCAGCAGTTGTGTATATTTTTTACAGAATCAGTGATATAGCCATCTGTTGCCTAAGGAAGCATTATTCCTGCTAAATAAAGGCCAGGCTAAAGCAAGATGAAAGCTACAGTTGAGATTGCACCATGTATGCTATGTATAATCAGGAGCTGTCAGCAGTGATGTGGTGTTGCTCCTCTGTAGCGGTCTGGACTGTCACGAAGAGAAAAGGAAACACCACTATATTTTAAGAAGTGTCTCAAAAGCATTTCTGAACCACTTCCCAGCTCCATTTTTATTTTTAATTTAAAAATATTTAAATACCACCCTTCATTCAAAACAAAAGTCCACAGAGGTTTCTCATATTAATATAAGAACAATACAATAAGACTACATTAAAAGGATACACAATGTACAAAATACAGTCAGCAGAGAAATAGCTATGACTGAGTAACAGAGGCCAGAAAATGCCTGAAAGGCTGATCATTCGTGTAATGAAAGATCTTGGCATTTCAATTCAATCCTACTTGAGTGCAGATCAGGCATAGGCAAACTCGGCCCTCCAGATATTTTGGGACTACAACTCCCATCACCCCTGACCACTGGTCCTGTTAGCTAGGGATGATGGAAGTTGTAGTCCCAAAACATCTGGATGGCTGAGTTTGCCTATGCCTGGTGTAGATCTTAGGAAAACGTAAAGGGGAAATTTGAGATATTGCTTTCAACGGTTCCTTCATCCTACACATCCGTATTTTCTAACAGATCAGAGCTCCTATGCCTTTTAAAGCTGCATGAAATGCATAAATTTATGCTCCACAGTAACTCAGAACAGGTCTTTCATTGTGGCTGCACCTGTTCTGTAGAACAGCATGCCTGTTGAGGTACAACAGGTGCCCACTACCTGTACTTTCCATAAACAATTGAATATATATACCTATCTCAGGTGGAATGATAGGTCTCTTCCATAGGTGTCCATTTTGTACACTTTCAGAACTTATCCTTTGTTATTTTTGTGCTGTTTTGTAACTGGTTTTTAGTTGCTTTTATTATATTTTGTACATTACCTTGGGGCATATGTGGGAGGTGGTTAATTTATCAATCAATTAATTTAGGAAGGGTGGCATCTCCTCGAATTGAGATAAACTGTTGGGGAAAGTTTCCCTTGCTAAAGGTCTGTTTGAGATCAATGCAGGGGACACCTCAAAAAACTGGATACTCTGGTTCCAGGACAGTAGAGCAGATGGATCTTGCCACAGGGCATGGTGGAAGAAGCATCATTAATAGTAAAAGTTTTTGTCATCCATGTGGGAGCCTGTGATTTGCTAGTATGTCTGCAGTGAAGATACAAAAACTGAATTTGGCTTAATTTGGCCATGAATAACAGCAGCAGTCAGTAAACTTTTTTCGCAGGGGGCCAGTCCACAGTCCCTCAGGCCTTGTGGAGGACCAAACTATTTTTTTTTATTTTTTAAAAAAATGAATTCCTATGCACACGCCGAGGGGGGTGAGTAGTCCTCCCCCACCCACCCAGCCCCAGCCACCTCTCGGTTTGTCGCCTGCCTCATTCACCAAAGAGCTGGCAGTGGTGGTGTGAAATGGACTTCCTCTCCGCCTAGAGAAAGAAGGCGCTGTGCTTACCTTCCCAGGGGCTGCCACCACCACCACCACCTCCACTGCCGCTGCCGCTGCTTCTCGTGAAACGGGTAGGCAGAGCGAGCTCATCCGCTCTGCTCTCTGGCCCACAGGAGCACCAGGGCAGTGGCAGTGGCAGTGGCAGAAGGCCGAGGCCGAATGGTGGTGGCATCTCTGCCAATCAAACGCCATGCCTGGTTTTCCTCAGAGTGGCACGATGACATCTCTGCCAATTAAACGCTGCTGAGGTAAACCAGGCACAGCATTTGATTGGCAGAGATGTCCCCACGCCATGCTGAGGTAAATCAGGTACGACATTTGATTGGCAGAGCCGCCGCCACCGCTCGGCCTCTTCCATCGCCATTGTTGGGAGTCTTGGCTTTGTGGCAGGTTCAAGCTTTGTGGCGCGGGCCTGATTTAGGACCCAGGTGGGCCTGATCTGGCCCGGGGGCCATAGTTTGCCAACCCCTGAATAACAGGTACGTCCCAGGGGGTGGTCATGCATCTGGAGGCAGTGTGTCCTGCTCATTGCCTGAAACAAAATGGGAAGGTGCCACCTCGCCCTTCCCTCCCTCACCCCGCTGCCCCCGCTGAGACTTCTCTTACTTGGGTTGTGCAGTGGCACCTGCAAAGCAATGATGACAACAACGGGTTCTGGTGAGATTTTGACAAGTTTTCATGAGATCTCAGGAAGCCAGTGCCGCTGCCGCATCTCTGCCAGCAGCAGAGGTGCCAGGGTGGGCTGCGCACCCACATGGGTGCTGCCTCTTGGGCTTTCACCAGCTGAGGTGGCTGATGCACACATCCCAGTTCCTCTGAAGAATTTCCTGAAAGGCGTCATGTGCTTGGATGGCTCTCCCACCCAAGGCATCAAAGAGTCCAAGATCGACTGATCTAACATCTCTGATTATTTAGTAAAAGCAAAGTGCTTGGCAGATGAGGCCGCTCAGGGTGTTCTAGCCCCCACAGAAGCTTCATGTCTAATCTTAGCAGTCTGTCTAGATGCTGCCAACTAAAATGATTAATGATATCATTTTATATCCTCCCCTTTCCTTGATGGGCTGCAAGGTTACTGGATCTGTTCTCTGCGAAATCTCTGCCTTTTTGCCATTTCTCTTGTAATCTGGGATTTAGTTGAAACAAACATGGCGTTCAGTAGAAAGCTTCAGTTTTTAATCTCCACTTCACAGGAATGAACTTCCTCACAGCAGACAGCTATAAACATCTTCTTCCCAGTTCCACATGAAAGTTCGCACCAAAGCCCTGTTATTCTCGCTTAGAAGCTTCAAGCAGAGTCCATATATTGGTTTCTGCCTTTTCCTCCTATGGTAGGGCATCTTTGCTGTGAGTCCTGGAAGACCTGCTCACTGCCTTGGAAACCTTCTTCTACCTGGCCTGGGAAACCAGGTCCCTGACTGACTCCAGCTGCAAAAGATGAGGCTGTGAGCAGAATATTAAGCTAGGGTATTGTTTGGGGGGTTTTGTTGGTGGGGTGTTGTTGCTGTTGCTGCTGCTAATTTTTTACATCTTCATTTTCTTCATTTCGGATCTTAGGATTTATGTGGAAATTGTTCAACTAGGTTGTGTACTTTTTGATGTTTTGTTTATTGTTTATGCCTACTTTTTATGTTTGTAGGTATGCCATTTTGTATATGTTGTAAGCCCTTTTGAGCATAGTTTTAGCTTTGGTCCTTGTTTGGGGGGGGGCAGCCATGGAGCAAATTTCAGATGGAACAAGAAGAGAGATGTTTGCAGCTGAATTGTAACAGTTATACATTAATTATTTGTTGAAATATTTGCACCTGGCTTTTTGATGCACCGAATCTCTAAGGCACCAACAATTAACAACAAAAAGCAACAATACTTCCAAGAAATAAACCAAGAAAGGAAGTGGGTTTGTTGTGCAAGAACTTCCATTTGACTATAACTGTGCAATCTGAACTTTCCGTTTTATGCTTGAATCCCACCTAGTGGCCTATCATTGGTGAAATGCTATCTGCTCTATTAAATCCATGTGCCAGCTACTTTTTAGCTCATGGTATCTGTAATAGGGTGATTTTTTTTGTTTTTTTTTTATTTGACTTGGTTAATTAACTATATGTACCAATACTGACTGGACGCGGGTGGCGCTGTGGGTTAAACCACAGAGCCTAGGACTTGCCGATCAGAAGGTCGGCAGTTCGAATCCCTGCGATGGGGTGAGCTCCCGTTGCTCGGTCCCTGCTCCTGCCAACCTAGCAGTTTGAAAGCACATCAAAGTGCAAGTAGATAAATAGGTACCGCTCCAGTGGGAAGGTAAACGGCATTTCCGTGCGCTGCTCTGGTTCGCCAGAAGCAGCGTAGTCATGCTGGCCACATGACCCGGAAGCTGTACGCCGGCTCCCTCGGCCAATAAAGCGAGATGAGCACCGCAACCCTAGAGTCAGTCACGACTGGACCTAATGGTCAGGGGTCCTTTACCTTTACCTTACCAATTTTGTTGTTTAGTCGTTTAGTCGTGTCCGACTCTTCGTGACCCCATGGACCAGAGCACGCCAGGGCACTCCTGTCTGCCACCGCCTCCCGCAGTTTGGTCAGGCTCATGTTTGTAGCTTCGAGAACACTGTCCAACCATCTCATCCTCTGTCGTCCCCTTCTCCTTGTGCCCTCCATCTTTCCCAACATCAGGGTCTTTTCCAGGGAGTCTTCTCTTCTCATGAGGTGGCCAAAGTATTGGAGCCTCAACTTCACGATCTGTCCTTCCAGTGAGCACTCAGGTCCTGATTTCCTTAAAATGGATGCGTTCGATCTTCTTGCAGGTCCATGGGACTCTCAAGAGTCTCCTCCAGCACCATAATTCAAAAGCATCAATTCTTCGGCGATCAGCCTTCTTTATGGTCCAGCTCTCACTTCCATACATCACTACTGGAAAACCATGGCTTTAACTATACGGACCTTTGTTGGTAAGGTGATGTCTCTACTTTTAAAGATGTTGTCTAGATTTGCCATCGCCTTTCTCCCAAGGAGCAGGCGTCTTTTAATTTCGTGACTGCTGTCACCATCTGCAGTGATCATGGAGCCCAAGAAAATAAAATCTCTCACTGCCTCCATTCTTCCCCTTCTATTTGCCAGGAGGTGATGGGGACCAGTGGCCATGATCTTCGTTTTTTTGATGTTGAGCTTCAGACCTTACCAATACTGACTATCAAATAAATGACAACTAAAGAAATAATCAATTCAGAATTAGGACTAGAAAAATTCGTGGAATATTAACAGCCATACTAAGAGTTAAGTTAATATAATACTAACTTGATGCTGGCATGCAGTGGTATTCAACTCAGAGAAAACCTGTTGAAATTAATGTACCTAACTTAGTCATGTTCACTAATTGCAATGGGTCTG